CCGTTAGTACATATATACATAGTATATATATATATATATATATATATATATATATATATATATATATACAGTGTCCCAAAAGTCCCGGACCGGTCGAATATTTCATAAACTATGCACTTTAGAAAGAAATCTTTTAGACAAAAGTTGTATGGCTTGAAGGGGACCATCAGATAGTGGCAATGATTTGACATGAGAGAGTCATTTAAAAGTCACGTGAAGATCATCGTCAATTTCTTAAATGGAACCCCCTATTTTTTATTACATATTCGTCTAGCTTATCTCGAGAGCTTTCCAAAACACTATAATGAAGTGTTTTTTCATTGAATACTTTTTGAGTTATGAGAAAATCATTTCTTAATTTTGTATAAACCATAAAATATCTTGTAAAATATTCATTTTTCTATTATCTTACCTTAATACTTTTATGTACAAAATAATGAGAGGAATCAATTGGTGTAAAGAAAACACATAGAAATAAAATAAAAAATAGAAAGAAATAAAAATCCTTTTTTTTTATGAAAATAAAATAAAAGTAAAAAAAAATTATTTTATTTTCATAAAAGAAAAAGATTTTTATTTTTTATTTTTATCGTTTCTTTCAAGAAATTTATTTAGAGTTTCATTTTCTTTTTATTTCATTTTCTTTTCACCTTTTGCTCTTCCTTCATCAGAGGTTTTTGAGCGATAACTTCTTAAGAAAGCATTTTTCCATGTTTATAAGAAATTTTTTGTTCAGAATTAAATTTCCTATAAGATCTCAAAGTCTGGCTGGAACGTTCGGGGCTACCCTATATATATGTATCGTCTGTGATGTGTATATTAACAGTAGCGCAATTAAATGCGCGTTAATAGCCGCTGCCAGAAGATGCAGAGTTTTGGTCGGGAAGTAGAATTACATGTGTATTCATGAGTAGTTTCTTTTTTTGCGTCACAAAAAAAAATGTTTTTCAGGCCGCCGAACTTTGTTGAAAAAAACATTGTTGATGCTTGTAAAAGGACTTCTAAGACAAGAAATGAGACAAAATTTTGTATTACAAAAATCTTAATAACTCAAAAACTAATCATTTCCGGACCTATGTTGATGAACTTTTTCTTCTTCTCTAAGCATGAGGAATCCATTCCTGAAATTTTGCCCACCACTTATGAAACACCCTGTATATAAATTTTACCGAAGGATTTTAAATATTAAAATTTTCCCCCCAAATTTTTTGATAAAATTTTCTTTATGGATGTTAAAATTCCTAATTTAATTTCCACTTAACTGCTGATTTCGTCATCAGCTATTCCCGTATTCGATTATCGTGAATTCAATATCCGACAAGAGAGTTAGAATGAGCGTGAAAGCATAAATCTTTTCAAGATAATGGCACGACGGTTTCTATCACGCGATAAAACCATGTGTCAAACACATAATTTTACAACGAATAATTCTAAGATCAAATATTTTTGACGAAGAGCCTGAGAAAGATCTGACAGCACTTTTGAGAAATATTCCATATCTTAACAATACTGAAAACTAACATTTTATCATTTTTTGTTGAATTACACAAAAATTAAAAAAAAATCACATTCAAGTAAATTACCGAAAATTATTTGCGAATATTTTTCGAATATTTTTTTAGAAAATTAAGTAGTAAAAAATAAATAAAATTAGTAGTAAAAAATAAATAACTGGAAATTGAGAAATAATAAATAATAAAGAAAATAAGAAATAAAATAAGAAATAATAAAAATAAGAAATAAAATAAGAAATAATAAAAATAATAAATAAAATATAAATAAATAAAAATATAAAGAAAATATAAATAAAAACCGACTTCATAAAATATCAGGAGATTTTTATGAACTCGATTTTTATTTATATTTTCTTTATATTTTTATTTATCTATATTTTATTTATTTTATTTATTATTTTTATTATTTCTTATTTTATTTCTTATTTTTATTATTTCTTATTATTTCTTATTTATTATTATATCTTAACAATACTGAAAATTGTCTAACATTTTATAATTTTTTGTTGAATTACGCAAAGATTTTTAAAAAAAATTACATTCGAATATTTTTTTTTAGAAAATTAAGTAGTAAAAATACATAAATTTAGTAGTAAAAAGTAAATAGTTAGAAATTGAAAAATAATAATAAAGAAAATAAGAAATAATAAAAATAATAAATAAAATAGAAATAATAAAAATAATAAATAAAATAGAAGTAATAAAAACAATAAATAAAATAAAAAAAATATAGATAAATAAAAATATGAAGAAAAGATAAATAAAAATCGAGTTCATAAAAATCTCCTGATATTTGATGAACTCGATTTTTATTTATATTTTCTTTATATTTTTATTTATCAATATTTTATTTATTTTATTTATTATTTTTATTATTTCTTATTTTAAAAAAGAACGCCTTATTAAAAAAAAATAAAAATATTTCCGAAATAATCGCAATTCGAGCAATTTTAAACAGCAAAAATTACGACATCCAAATAAATACATATTCGAATAAATCAAGAAAATGGTTAATTTGTTTCATCCTGCACCGTCATTCGATTCGTTTGCCGTTACTTAAATTTTCTGATTGTAAATCGAGACGAGAGCGATGACATTCGCGGCGATTCGCGTTATTATATCATTATACGAACGAGCATGTGCTCACCCTTTCGAATACTCCTGTAAGGCAGGTATTATATTCCCATTGACTGTTCCTCGCGTCTCCTACCGGTTTTTTCGAAGGATAAAATCAGGTATTACTCGTCCGAGACGGACCGTTCATCGATCGAATGAATGCATTGCTGGCTATAACTTGTAAACTTTATACAAAAGGACGACTTTGATGTAAAATAATTTTATAGTACAAGAAGAAATAATTTTCTACGTTTTTTTTTTAATACCTCTCATATCATATATTTGAGGAAATCATTTATCAATTAATTGGAAAATATTTACAGTGTAATTTGTACTCAAATTACAGGGGAGTATTTCTTTAAAATTTTATATTTTATTCTATATTACATTTGTGTGATTTAAATCGAATAAGTATTATTCATATAGCATTACTCTTAAATGTTCAAAATTGCTATAAAGTGAGGTAAATCGCGTGTGAAAAAGTATTTTGATATTTTTTGTTAGAATTTATTTTCAAAAAAATTGACGATTTCTTTTTCTTTTTTTTTTTTATTTTATTTTATCGAGTTTTAAGAAATTTTGGGATTAAATGTCGGAATAAATATGCTTCAAATACGAAATTTTCTCTATAAAATCTTTATATGAAGTTTAATGATAAATAATATTTTAAATAGAATCGACGAGATTCATATGATTTTTTTTTTCAAATCGAAATCTAAATCTTTCATGCGAATATTTTCTCGATATTACGTCGCAAACTTTCCGGGACAGTGACTAAGGACGATGAGCAGCGTAACGAGCACGATACGCACAACAATTACACGCACCACCGAATTTGATGGTGCGCTATAGAGCATTTGATATCTAACAACGGTCTCCGAATGTTTCTTTAATATAATATTACTTGGAAAACATCGAGAATATCAAAGCTCTTAAAATTCATCGATATCCTTTAATCGCGGAAAGTTTAGAAAATTTTTAAAACGATACTGTTTAATATTTATATAATATTTATACAGAGTGGCCCCGAACGTTTCAGCCAGACTTTGAGATATTCTTATAGGAGATTTCTTATAGGAAATTTAATTCTGAACAAAAAATTTCCTATAAACATGAGTCGAAAAATGCTTCCTTAAGAAGTTATCGCTCAAAAACTTCTGATGAAGGAAGAGCAAAAGGTGAAAAGAAAATGAAATAAAAAGAAAATGAAACTAAATAAATTTCTTGAAAAAAACGATAAAAATAAAAAATAAAAATTTTTTCTTTTATGAAAATAAAATAAAAGTTAATTAAAAAAAAATTATTTTATTTTCATAAAAGAAAAAGATTTTTATTTTTTATTTTTATCGTTTTTTTCAAGAAATTTATTTAGTTTCATTTTCTTTTCACCTTTTGTTCTTCCTTCATCAGAGATTTTTGAGTGATAACTTCTTAAAGAAGCATTTTTCCATGTTTATAGGAAATTTTTCGTTCAGAATTAAATTTCCTATAAGATTTCAAAGTCTGACTGGAGCGTTTGGGGCTACCCTGTATAAGCTTTTCAGAAGCAGAAAATGATCAATTTCTTGTAAATTTTATTTTTAATTTTAATAAATCAGATGTATAATTAATGCAATATTAGAGCACAATTAATGACAATTATATGTTCTGATATTACAATTAAGAAATTTACAGAGTAGAGTCGATCAGTTTGGCTACTGGTTATATGATACTATTTCGCAAAGTAATTTATAATTTATAATTTAATTTATAATTAAAATTTGATATGGAAAAGTAATTTGGAGAAATAAAAGTATTTGATATGAAAAGTATAATTTGAAATAAAATTTGACAAAAAATTTGATATGCAATGTAATTTGAAAAAAATTATTTTCCATGATATACACACACACATGTACATATATATTTAATTATCAATATTTTCCACACAAATACATTGATATTTTTGGTCAGAATTTATTTTAAAATATTATGATATTTTTCTTTCAAAATTTTATTTTAAGAGAATTTTGAAATTTTCAGGATTAAATATTAGGATAAGTACGTTTCAAATACACAAAATTTTCTAAAAATCCCTGCGTGAAGTTTAATGACAAATAAAAATTTACATTTCTAATAGATTTTTTTTTTTCGATTACATCTCAAAAAGAATATTCGTATCGCATAATTTTGTTTCAAGAGATTTATTATTATTTATTATTTATTTATTTATTATTATTTAAATTTTATTGATTATTATTTTTAGAAGAAATGCACACGTTTTGAACTCACTCTGTATCTACATAATATGTAGACTTTGAGCTGTAGAAACTTAAGAGAAATACAAGTTGAGCACATTTGGGACAATTCAAGTACGCCCTAAATGTGCCTAACTTTATGCGTAAGGCATTCCTTGTTCCCAGTGTGTGCACCACACAGAAAGATTTGGGAACCACTGAAACAGTGTGCACCTCACGTGCGATCGTAATAGTAGTGGTAAAGCTCGGAGAGGGGAGGGTGAGAGCGAGAGGAAGAGAGAGAGAGAAAGATGGGGGGGGGAAGGCGAGAGCAGGTAGAAGCGTACTATTGTCGTGTGCGTATCCAGGGAAGTTCGTCGTAAACAGTTGGAATTCGGAAACTGTGAGAATGAAAGTTCGGAGTCGCGAGTGGCAGGATCCGGATGTTAAGGGAATTTTAAAAAAACACTATAAAACGAACGGAAGGCAAGATTGGCACCGGAAACCCGCGTCCTCCTAACGATCTTCATCACACCTGTGTCGGACGACTAGCCATTGATCGCTCCATCAGGTACCTTGCTCTCCACTCGCTTCAATTCTCGATGTTAGAGGGGCTAACCATCCAAAGATCCCAAAAGGGCGACCCTAACGGCCACAGTTAGGGACAGTTTGGGATTCCAACGGTGGGGAGGACATCGTGCGTAGCAAGGGAAGTCCCCTCTCCCTCCCTCCGTCCCCCTCTCTCTCTCTCTCTCTTTCTCTCTCTCTCTTCCCCTTCCCCACTCTTGGGGCCCGATGGAGTTACCTCGTCGAGTTTGTCAGTTGCTTTGCCGAACGCAAGAAGGCACCACGCGTGGAATTCAACGGCATCGTTGGGTGTGGCGAGTGCTGGATTGTTTTCGCGAGTGCACGCGAACTTTGCCGAAAAGTGCGCTTTTCTTTCGCTCCGCCCCCGCCCCTCTCTCGGATAGGACGAGAGGAAAAGTGGCGGAATCGCGACATGTAAATTCCACCGTTCGAGTGACATTGTTCCCAGGAACTTTGGACTTGAATTTTCGAGAGTTCCGTGAGAGACATTCGCACTTTCTCTTCTTTCGTGTTTGCTGAAGTATTTGAATTATCTAAGTAAGACATAGAACTGGGCTAATATAAGAGCCAAGGTAAACAACGTGAAAATAAAAATACAACTCTTAATTAGGTTGTTAAACAAATTCATTAATTTATTAATTTATCATCTTCAATTATTGCAATTAATTAACGGAAAATATGTCGCAATTTTTGCTACAGATCGAAGGCAATAATGGCCCAATAAGTGCGAATCAAGTCTTGATTATCTTCGATTAGGGTTGCTCTCGAGAATAGAATTCTTCAGATTCTCTTTCTTCGAAGAATTTTATTACTAAAGACAACGATAAAAATTTTGTAAAAATAAAGATAAATTCTTCATTTTTTCCTTGGAAATATTTATTATTCAAAATTACATTCAAACACAATATTTATTTTTTTCATAAAAATCCACTAATCCATTATATGACGTACATTTTGCATTAAAAGCATTTTTAGCGGGAAAAATGTCGATTTTTTTGTAATTTAATGAGGAGTTACAACATTTATGAATCGTTCGTTCCCAGAAAATACAGTGACGAGTTGACTTTGCGGTTCTTTGACGTGTTCTTGATGTGACGTGAAAGAAGTATCTCTTCGAGGCTGAAAGAATGACGGTATCCGAAGAGTGAGTACAATATTAAAATGAAGCACAAATTCAAAACGATACAATTAAATAAAAATGCAGTATTCGAGGAAGGATCATATTTTTTTGAATTTTATATTTTTTTCACATTTCTTACAATAGAAAAAAAGCGTTGGAATATTTGCAATTTTGAGAAAGAAAAATTATAAAATATTTACATCAATCAGCAATTCGTATGTTTCTTATGCAAATATAAAGTGAATTACATTTATAATATTTATATAATATTTATATTTTAATATTTATATAATTATATAACATTTTTATATTTTAAATATATAACAAAATATATTTATATTTTACATATATAATAAAATATATTTATATTTTTCTATTTTCATATTTATATATTTATATATCTTTATAATTATTATTTATTTTATTACATTTATAACAAAACCAATATAGACACTTTCTTAACATATTCAGTTTACAAGGAATTTTAGTAAGAAATGTGAAATATTTTTGAATTTTTAATGGTATCCATTGAGGGAAAAATTTTGGAAGCGTGAAACTTATGCGAGGGCACGTTCTTTCGAAAAAAGGACTTCTCGAGATATGAAACAATCGGATCACCTGGCACCGACCAGTATAATCATAGATATAAAAAAAAAAGAAAAAAAAGAAAGAAAAGATTCGCCTAACCTAAATAGGCCTTGGGATACAGAGACATTTCAGTGTCCAGTGTTTACCGATGTTTCTCGGAGACGCGGGAGACCTGATGAATGCTTGTCGAGACTTCTCTCGTGTGGCGTATAATAGTAAGGAACGGAGTAAGTGGGAGTAGGAGTGGTGAAAGGGAGGGGGACGATCTACGCTGTAGTAAACCGTATTGTATAGACAGGTGCAGAAATAATGTTTCGTGCTTGCGCCTAAACTTTGCGACGAGAAAGTTTCTTTTGTAATCCTTGGAAGCTCCTGGGACGCTTTTTACTTAAATAATAGAGCAACTAACAGAAAAATAACTTTTTTTTTTCGAACACAAGGCCAGTCACTTCCCGTAATTTTCTTTTAATGCCGAGTACAATTCCGATTTCCGGTTTGTTGCTCCATCACATCTCACGATTTTCAGAAATATATGCAGTTGAAATTGCATGCGAAGGAAATTTTAATCAACTGGAAATTTAATGTCAAAATTGATAGAATGTACGCATTTAAATTTTTGCAAAATTTGCCCAAGTATTTTCTAATTTTTTAATTTTGACATTTATACCTTAATTTTAATTTTAATTAAAATTTTAATATAATTTTGATTTTAATAATATAAATTAAATTTATATTATTTAAATAATAATTTAAATAATATAAATTTAAAAGTTTTTATTTTGACATACTTTAATTTAAAAAACAATTTATATTTATTTAATTTATATTATTCTATTTATTTTTATATATTTAATTTTAATTTAATTTTTTAATTTTAACACTTATACTTTAATTTTAATTTATATATCTCTCTATTTAATTTATATTTAATTTTAATTTAATTTGTTAATTTTGGCGTCAAGTTTAGCAATTGAAAAAATTCTTTAGAATAAACATGATTAAAAATATTTATTTAATATCTTTACAATCTTTGATTCTATCCATTTAATCATGAATAATTTAATTAATCGTCGATTTTTTAAAGTCCAAATGACATGCTTTCCGATTGAATAAAATTTTTTAAATATATGATAGCTTTTTCTTAATAATTTTAACTGCAAATTTCTCAACATTGAGATGTGATGGAGCAATTTTAAATTATATTTACCTTCAAAAATACTATGGAAAATACATTTGTTTAACCATGTACTTAAATGCAAACAACTACTTTATATTTTGAAAAAGACAAGGAGAATCCGTGAGTCGCGTGTCTGTCCTCGTGAGTGCAGGAGTTATTAATGTACCTGATTGTACTATGTCGGCCGACGAGGCGAGACGCGTTACGTGCTTTGAATGCATCATGAGGTTGACACTCCTCGGGAGATTGGCACTCGGCGATCGAGAAAGGCTCGTATCACGATTCCATTGAGGATGCGTACGAGGAGGATCGCGTAGTGCGAAAACAGGATGTCTATTTTTCCTGGAAAAAGCTGGAATTCTCTGGAGAGAAGTTTTTTTATGTCCGGCAAAATTTTTTTCCTGGAATGAATTTAATTTTAGAACTCGGGAATTTTAAAAAAAATTTATTAAATGAATGTTTTTATATGATTGTTTCTTTATAATAAATAACGGTGTAACAATATCGACACTGGACTCATATTGCCATTTGTACCAATTTATATATTTAATTTTATATTCGTGAGTCTGACATTTTTAATAATTTTATTTAAAAAAAAATTTTCTCTTTAATAATTTTGCTCTTATATCATCAAAGGGAGGGAGGGAGGGAAGGATAATCTGCCCATCAAATTGTGAATTAATTTTTTTATTTTTTTTTTATTTTTTATTAATTATTTAAATTTATATATGTATAATAAAATATTGAATATGCAATATGGTATATATTTTTTATTTTAATTTTTAATGATAATAAATGAAAATTAAAAATTTTTATCCTCACAAAAGTTATTCAATTTCCGATATATCTGTAAAATGTAGCATTTGAAACTTAAATGGCTTTGTGTGAATAAAAATCTAGAAAGTGCGTAAAATGATGAAAATATGTACTTTGGGAAGTTGCATAAAAAAAATGTTTAAAATATTTTCTTCACCTGGAATTTTGAAGAAAAATACCTGGCAAATCGGGGAATTTTTCGAAAACTTCTACGAGACTTGAGTAGAACCCCGCGACTTTAATTCCTTAAGGATCAAACGTCCGTTTTTCCAACACTTTTTGCAGCGACATTTTCTGCTACCGAATCGATCGTTAAAAAATTTCAAAACAATGAATTTTAACGTAAAATTGCCTGAATTTTCGAAATACGTCATCAGAATCTCAAAAAAATGCAAACTGAAATAATTATATTCGTTTAACAAAAAATACGAATTTTTCAATGCATCAAATCTTTATTTGAATATTTTTGTCTCGAATTTGTGAAGATATACCTCTAATAAGTGAAATTCTTGCGTCCATGGACCCTAAGCTTGAAAACTATAGGTTAGTTTTTCAAAATTCAAGATGGTGAAATCCAATATGGCGGCTAAAAGCCAAAATTTTTTTGCTATTCCTGATTTTCCGTATTGGAGCAATATTTTCGAATAAATTCCCATACATAGGGGTTTTTGGGGTCGCTGATTACGAATCCGAAATCAGATTTTCTTAATTGAAGATGGCGGATTCAATATCTGCCAAAAATTACTGAAACTTTCTGATTTTCATCAAAATTCGTACATGGGGGTTTTTGGAGCTGCTGATGACGAATCCGTGATCAGATTTCGAATTTTTGTATATTTCCACACAAGACAATATCTTCAACAAGTCGTTCAGTACAGAACAATACATTTACATCATTCTAAAATTTCATATGATTTTCATGAGATATTTTTGCAGAAGAGATGATTATTACGATTGTGAATAATATATACAATCAGAGCAAGAATCTACGATGCCTAATTGATTCCTAATATATTACCAATTTTATGAAACCATTCTATTGAAACCAAAAAATTCACAAAAGAATGTTTGGCCTGATTTGTCGTGAAGTATGTGGATATCAATGTACAGAATCAAGCCATAAGAAAAGGGTTAAACCGCAATTTCGTACGTGCTGTTGCAAGTTTTATTGCGAGGACTCCTCGATTGCGATGCTCGCGAGTTTACAAGGCGAACGAGTGACGTGCGCTTCATATTTTAGCGTATGAGTCATCGCGGTTTTACTTATCTGCGTGAGCTCTTACCTGCAATGATATCGGCGCGATCGTGCGATTAGACCTCAATAGAGAGGTGGCCTAGAATCCGATTCCATAATTTTCTCATCCGGAGAGCGCGTCAAAAGACTGGATGTATCTATCTTCCAATTGAGAAGCGATCTCGGGAGGAGCTCGTTTCTTTTTTCACGCACACAACTCTCGGGATATCAGCTTGCAATCTCATTTTACTCCTAAATACTGTCCATGCAATCGCATATTTTTTATATTTACTTTGGTCTTCTTATTGTATGAGATCTTGGGTAAGCAAAATTCAATCTCGAAAAGATAACGAGCCAAGTTAAATATGCCACGAGAGTATGCGAGTCCTCTAGTGTATCAAGATTTTTATTTTAGATTTTGTAATCGAATTATACATGTAATATATGATGCAGAACCGGGTTGGCAAAAAACTTGTTTTTTTATTTTAAACAAAAAACATTTTTTTTTGTTTAGAACAATGTTTTTTGTTTTATTTGTATTTTTAAGTAAAATAAAAAACATGTTTTAAACAAAAAAAGCATGTTTTAAACAAGCAAAAAACACTTAATAACTTTGATCTGTGTAAATATTTAAATTTTTCGCTAGCGTTGAATTGTAAATAACGTTGCCAAAATTGACAACGCTATTAAAAATATAAATAATAAAATAAAAATGATAAGATGGATATTATTTTAGCAGAATATTTATTTTTGGAGTTATTTATTTTTGGAGAAAAAAAGTTCTAACTAATAATATTTAATATATAATAATATATAATACTTTGGTTCCTTTCCTATTTTTATTAAGTAACCTCATGCTTAACTCTCAACATAAATTATAAATAAAAGAAAAATAAAAAACCTCAATTCTTCTTTTTAAAAGAAGAACTTTTTTTTAGAACTACTGATATGCTATGAGTTATATACTATTAATTTAAAATGCTAAAATGTAAAATGTAAAATCAGTCAATATCTTCTAAGTAATCTTTATTGTATTGATTGTTATTTAATATCCAAAAATAAATATTCTGCTAAAATAATATCTATCTTATCATTTTTATTTTATTATTTATATTTTTATATCTATATGTTACATAAATATAGATAAAAAATTAAAAACACTAAAACAAAAACTTTTTTGCAATATACACATCTATTAGTTTTTGTTTATTTTTGATTTTTTTACGATTTCTTTTCCAAATAATGATATATTTTATTTGCGATATTTTAAACGATTCTAAACAGTAGTTTAAAACAGTTTAAAACAAAAATGTTTACAACAGTGTTCACTATTTTAAACAAGTTTTAATCAAACAGTTTTAAACACATTGTTTAAAACATGCCAAACCTTATGCATAACACTCAAAAAAATGTTTTGCAAATGTAGGTAGATTTCTAGTTCGCAACCAAAATTTATTGCTATTTTTTGTATCTGATATTTTACGGTTTATGTAAAATTAAAAAATTATTTCAAGCCTTATAACTTGAAAAATACTCAATGAAAAAATACTTTATTATACTGTTTTGGAAAGTTCTTGAGGCAAGCTACAAGAATATGCAAAAGTATACAGGGTGTCACATTTAAAAAGTTGGAAGTGATCTTCACGTGATCTTCAGATGACTCTTCAAGGTCAAATTAATGGCACTATTTTATGCCCTCCTCGAAGCCATAAAACTTTTGTCTGAACTTTTGTCTGAACTTTCTAGTAAAACTTTTTCTTATCGAGATATTTGACCGTGTCCAGACGTTTTTAACACCGTGTATATGCAACGCTAAGCAAATACAATTCAATAAAAAAAAAAGGAGATGTTGACCGAAACTGTCTCTCTTTTAAATTGCATAGATACGCTAAAAAAGCTGTGTAATTAATTAGAAAAAAAATTTATAATATTGAGTAGTACTATCTCATTAAAAAGAATAAAATTTATTCATAATGTGACTAGTTACAAAAACTTTACAATAACTACGCCAATCCGTATTGCTCGAGATTCCAGGTTTTTAATATGTCTTCAATCGTCGTTACAATAATTATGTCATTATTATCTGCCATAATTATAATACGAAAATTTTTCAGAATAATACTTCACAATAAACACTCACAATTTCATCACAATTTCACAAAATTGCCTCGTCAACACGTAACGCTGTTACTGCGTGTAGTCTACTGAACCGGCAGAAACTTGCACGCATGACCGTTGAACGCGCGATGCGCGATTGTTCAAAATGATGGACAGATTAGGTGCGTTATACAAACTATATTAAGTACCAGGATTATACAGGGTGGCCCTGAACGTTCCAGCCAGACTTTGAAATCTTATAAGAAATTTAATTCTGAACAAAAAATTTCCCATAAATATGGATTGAAAAATGCTTCCTTAAGAAGTTATCGCTCAAAAACCTCTGATAATCTAAAATAATTACTTTACATGACCTTAACATGAATAGACCTTAACATTGAATAGGCGCCACAGAAAAATTTTCTTTCTAAACAACTAGATAAGAAAACTAGCGTCTCCGAGCCACAGCGGATGATAATACCTGAAAATTCTTTTTAATTGTACGCGAAAATTTAAACGAGAACAAGGCGTATGCATATATTTTACTTGATGCATTTACCAAGATAGAGATTCTCATTTTTGAGAATTCTATAAAACTCTCTTTACCCCCCTGAAGAGACTCTTTCTTTCTAAATTTCACGAACAGTTCAGATATAAATTCTGTCATTTATATTAATTACGTGCAAAATATATACGATATTACAATATTTGTTAATCTACCTCAGTTAATTTTTCACACCTAAAAAATTTTTGAGTGCACTCAAAGAAATGATATTGCAATTATAGCAAAAATTTTTTAATCGTTCTCTTTTAATTATTCCAGCTGCTATTAAAACCCATATTTATCCAATGCAGCGATTAATATCTAGCAATAGGATTTAAATTTTCTAGCAGATATTGCTAGAATGTTACTGCTATAAATTCTATCTGTGACAAACGATACGATTCTATCAGATACAAAAAATAGCGATTTTTGATTGCGACATCTAGAAATTTACCTACATTTGCAAAACATTTTTTTGAGTGTGAAGAACAATATAAATTTTATTCTCTTTGATTTAATTTAAATTATATTATCAAATATATGGGAATAAAATTATATATTTCAAATTATTTTATAGTTTTGTTTACTCTAAATTGTAAACTATTATATTTTACACATAATTATTTATTTTTTAATTAATCAATTTTATTTTTTAATTAATTATACATAATTTATATATAATTTATATATACAATATTTTAATATATTTTAATCAATTAAGTATATATAATTTATATATATAATATTTTAATATATTTAAAATACATTAATTATTCAAATATGTTTAATATTATTATATAATATACAGTTTTTTAAAAATTATATAAAAGATGGGAAACTAACTGATGTGTCAGAGGGTTAAAATGCAGGCGGTGCAGCGAACCCTTAAAAGAAATGCGTGGATGCGTTTTTAAGGCTTTAAGATCGAGGACACGAGACGTGCTAAGAAGAGCGGAGGGGCAGGGGGAGATACGACAGGAATGCTTGGCACGTGACTCTCGAGGATCGTCCGGAAACCTCGGAGATTCTCGAAGAGAGAGAGATCGAGGCAAATTTCGTTAAGCTACGATTTAAGTTAATTAACACACGCATTGTGTCGATCCAACTTATTCGATAAGCGCTTTAACCTTGGTTGGATCAATACATCAAATTAGGCTATACTCGATCTCCTTAATTAAAAGTTGTTAATTAATTCAAGTTAAGTGAAAAGAGCTTTTTTCTCTGTCGTTTAACTGAGTTAAACTTACGCGAGAGCATTGATTAAATTCGGAAAATGCGCGTGGAACTGAAAATGTCGATGATGTACCTTTCTCAGGCACCCTGTATAGTTCGTAGCATTCAGGGAAGAGTCGGTTCTAGATGCATCGCATGCATCGGACACTCGTGCTGCATAGTGAGAATCATAACAGATACCGCAGAGTAGCCTGGCGCACCGAACAGATGCCTCGTACTTTATTTCTGACGTGATAATTTATCTCGACGCGGTATTACAACACGAGGAGGTGCCTAGGGATGGCTTTAGGAAATTCCAAAAGGGGCGAGGAACAAAAGCGAGTAGCTCATTTGAGGATAAACCCAATTATATTCCCTCGAGAGACGTTTCTCGAAGATTTGGAGTTATTTTCCAGGCAAAATTTTACGGTCATTCGAGTATTGGGACCTTTACTGAAGATGTGTTTGTTTGATCCTTTAAAAAAAAATTGAAATTTCTACGGTTTATCTCTTCAGAAAATTGCCACACGTACACTAAAGTTTCTGCAGCGGTGTCGGTTACCTGCAACAATTGTATGAACCTTGTGCATCACGTTTTTCAGGATGGCAACGGAACTGGCGAACAAGAAAGCAGAGCGAGAGGCTCTCAGGGGGGTCATACAACAGTGGAATGCCAATCGTTTGGACCTGTTCGAACTTTCGGAACCCAATGAGGTGAGTTAGAGCAAAGCCCTTTTGTAAATACCTAGTTTTTTAATTCAACAATATTATTATTTGGCCCATTTCATCTATATCTTCTTTTATATAGGATTTGGAGTTTCATGGCGTAATGAGATTCTACTTTCAAGACAGCGGCCAGAAGGTCGCTACCAAGTGCATCAGGGTTGCCTCGGATGCGACAAGCCAGGCAGTGATAGAAACGCTCATAGAAAAGTTTCGTCCTGATATGAGAATGTTGTCCGTCCCAGAATACGCTCTTTACGAGATTCACGAGAATGGAGGTGAGTAAAATCAAGTTGCATCCGTATTGCATTTCAAAAGGAAAATTTCGCTAAAACCATGTATGCTTAATAAAAAGTTAATATTATATAATTCATAATTTATTTAATTATTTTAGTTAATAATTATTAAGAATATTAATTATAAAATAAATTATATGCGTATATGTATTTAAATACAATTAATTTATAATATTAATTAATTAATATATAATATTAATAATTTATAATATTAATTAATTAATAATTTATAATATTAATTAATTAATATATAATATTAATTAATTAATATATTAATATATAATATTAATATATTAATATATAATATTAATTTATAATTTATAATTTAAATTAAATATAATAATATTAATTAAATTTATAAATTATATTACTTTTATATCAACTAAAATTAAATTTAAATTTTTTTATATTAATTAATATTTATCTCTTTTGAGCTAAAGAATCGTGCTTTAATTTCAATCTTTTATCATTTAGTAATTTTATTTCATTTCTCGTTAATATGTGTATAATAAAACTTTCCTCATTTGCAGAAGAACGCAAACTTGGACTGGAAGAAAAACCGTTGCTGGTGCAACTAAATTGGCACATAGATGATCGCGAGGGACGCTTCTTGCTGAAAAGAATTGACGACAAGACTAATGCGCAGGGCGTCGGTTTTACTTCAGCCGAGGGTTCTAGCTTTCGCAGGAAGCTGAGCAAGCGGGAGAAAAAGCAGATCAAGAAGCAGGAGAAGCTCAGTCGGCTGAAGAGCTTGGAGCAAGACGAAAACGCTGTGCCTGGCGATCAGAACGGCGTCGCCGAAAAGCTCTATACGGGTTAGCAAGCTTTATTTTTAGACCGTTTGTATAAAACGGATTATAAAGAAATGAATTGAAATCTGTCTGCACTTAATTGTAATATTTTCTCGACTGTGCTTTCTATTGTAATTTATTTTTCATCGTCTAGTGTCATCTATTGTCTCCTCTAGATGAATGCAAAATAATACTTTGATACGTCAGACATCATTATTTTAATTCAGTGATTGTGTTCAGTTCATTGAGCGCGAAAAATCAAAATACTTTCGTATTGTCACCAATACTCCTGATACTAATGGTGATGTTATCTCTTGTAGAACTGCCCGAGACCAGTTTCACAAGGAGCATTTCGAATCCGGAAGCGGTGATGAGGCGTCGTCGTCAGCAAAAGCTTGAGAGGAAGCTTCAGCAGTTTCGCAGCAAAGACGGCGGACCCGACACTGGCGGTACATTGAAAATTTATGGCGAAGCGTTGTGCAAGGACGTGCCATACAAAACATTGCTGTTAAGCGTGCGGGACTCGGCCGCCCAGGTCGTGCGAGAAATGTTGGCTAAATATGGCTTAGAAAAAGTGGATCCGCAGTTGTATTGCCTTGTGCAGGTCAGATATACACGAGATTGTGTATTGGCGAATTATATTTAAAACACGCTAGGATATATTTATAAAATTGTTACTTCGATAATTATGTCGTAATATAAATAGAAAAGATAATCCTGATAATAAAAAAGCTAGAGTAAAAGGATAATATATTAATAATTTGTAATGGAGATGTTAAGAATTAAAAGTAGGAATTTATTCAATAATATTCACGTATTTTGTTTAATTAGAATTTAAAAAAATAATAATAGCAAAACTATTATCATAACATGATAAAGAAATTGAAAAAGGCAAATTATAAATATTTTTTTAAATATTGCTTTTTAAGATATATATTTTCCTTTTTTAATTTATAAATACTATTGTTGGGATTAAAATTGTACATTATAAAATATTTGCATTCTATATCTCAAAGAACATTGATTATTTTGCTAGTTTTTGGAAATTGTATCAGATTCAGTAATATAAGCATTAGATGTTTTCTTATTAAAAACACAATCATACATATCAATATCATTATTTTATTTATGATACAGGTAAATAGTGAGAACGTGAGTGGCAACGCGCATCAGGAGTACATATTGGACGACGACGAGTGTCCTCTGGCGATATTAATGAATCATCCTTCAACGCGAGGTAAGAATATGCAACTTTTATGTGAATGCATTAGACTCACAATTTGCATAGTCATGATTTTTATGAGCGATTTTTGGTTTGTGTATTATTGTTCCAATATATAATACATAATAATAGAAGTAAATCAGATGCGATTAGACTTATGATTTTAAAATATTTACTTTAAATTTGCGTTCTTTACATTTAAATTGAGGCTACGTAATGTATTGAAATTTATCTTCATACATTTAGAAAAAAAAAACAATTATTAAGTTTTTTACCTTTCCATCTTCTATTGAAAGTTTAATATAATTTAAATTAATATTGCAAAATGGCAATTCTGTAGAGTCTGTCAATAATAACTTGAAATCTTTGCTCATCTTTATATTATGAAATTTTGTGGGGGAATCGCGCTAGTTTGAATTCTTCAGCACGTGATACAAGTGATACGAAAGAAACGAAATTGTTTTAAACTTTAATTTTACATAACAGAAATCAATAACTTATTTGTCAATTTTAGCTTTAAGTAATTCATTTAAATAGAATTTAAATTTAAATAAATCTTTATTGCTTTGTTGCATAAAATGTGAATATAAATTTCGAAACATTTCTATCATACGACAATGATAAATTAGATGCAACTCTATAAAAAAAATTAAAAATTAAATATAAACTAAATATAAACTATAAAAATTATCCTATCTAATTTTTAAAAAAACTGAATGGAGGATTAGTACCTAAGTTGGAAGAAAACGATATAAAGTAATACAATAATAGAAAATACGATAAAAAGTAATACAATTATTCGTGAAGAGAGAAAGAATCTACAGGGTGGCCCCGAACGTTCCAGCCAGACTTGAGATCTTATAGAAAATTTAAATCTGAACAAAAAATTTCTTATAAACATGGGAAAAAAATTCTTCCTTAAGAAGTTATCGCTCAAAAACCTCTGATGAAGGAAGAGCAAAAGGTGAAAAGAAAATGAAACTAAATAAATTTCTTGAAAAAAAAAACGATAAAAATAAAAAATCTTTTTCTTTTATGAAAATAAAATAAAAGTTAGTTAAAAAAAAAGTTATTTAATTATTAATTTTAAAAAAATTATTTAATTATTAATTTTTTGTTCAGAATTAAATTTCCTGTAAGATCTCAGAGTCTGGCTGGAACGTTCGGGGCCACCCTGTATAAGAAAAAAAAAATATGCTGCGATAAAATAAGAGGAATAATTCAATGAAAAGGATTGACGTCAGAGTTTACGGGAGAGGAGAATAAAAATTTGATGAGGGAAGGCTAGAAAGATAAAAGAAGCTGCGTCGAGGAATGAAATTTGCACGGTTGTGCGTCGCATGCATAACAGAGGATTAACATGAGCCGAGTGAGAATCGACGAAAGGAGCAAGTGAAAAGGAGAGAGGAGAGCCGAACAGGACGGAGAGCAAACGAAAGGGGGATGTAAGGGTGGTGCAAGGAGAGCAGCCGATGCCAACATCGCCTCAGTTGGCTCATTGTCGTCGGTGCCAGTGCGCGGGCGCCGTCGTCGCCGCCTCGTCGTTTCTCTCTTTGCCCCCATTTCAACGTCACCGTTCGTGGTGCAATAATTGCCCAGTGATTTTAAGACCAAATTTGCCCCTACGACCTCACTCACGAAGAGGAATTACAATTGTTCCAGCACGCACCTTAATGAAATAGTCAAGTTGAAAGTTCAATACACCGAGGGACACGTATACGCCTCCTGTACACGTTAACTTACATATCCACGTATTAATTACCGTGATTCGTTTTGTTTATTTCGAAGAAAAATGTTCCCATGTCGAGCTCGAGGTCGTTTAAACCCGGCGAGAGTGTACTCATCCACCTACGCGTCTGGTGATCCATTGTGATGTCGACGGAGTTGCGTACGTGCTGATCCCTTGCAGCATCTCGCAAAAATACGACCCGGAGTATTAATAGCCAGGTTGACTTGGGGGAAGCGCGAGAGAAAATTTACAACGTTGATAAAACTGGATCCACCCACGCCCGCGGCTGTAATAGCCCGTAATCATAAGAAGAAGTAAACAGCCGCCGTACAATTACACGCATATAATGCGAAGCGTCCGAGGCGTGGCGTCACCGAATGCGATTAGCTCGTCGACGTATCAAAGACGATTTGCAGCAGTGAAAGCGAATCCACCCACGCACGCGACTGTCGTAATAGCCCGTGCTAATTCGTATGAAGGTGTAAATAGCCGTTACAATTGTTGCAAATACCATGCGAAGCGTCAACATCGCCTAATCTGGCCGATCCATCGCTGCATCGGCATCATATCAATGGGAATTGATGGATAAAGATGATCTCCTAACTCTCCAGAAATGCAAAGTACCAATAAATAATATCTACTACCAGCTAAATATGATCTAACTGGAAGTCAATACTCGTAATTAATCGAATTTAATTGACCTATTATGAAGACCTAAGAGAAGAGTAGTAGCCCGTGCTAATTCATATGAAGGTGTAAATAGCCGTTACAATTGTTGCAAATACCATGCGAAGCGTCAACATCGCCTAATCTGGCCGATCCATCGCTGTATCGGCATCATATCAATGGGAATTGATGGATGAAGATGATCTCCTAACTCTCCAGAAATGTAAAGTACCAATGAATAATATCTACTACCTGCTAAATCTGATCTAATTAGAAGTCAATACTCGTAATTAATCGAATTTATTCGACCTATTATGAAGACCTAAGAGAAGAGGAGGAAGATTGTAACAATAATGGGTATGATATTGCCTCTCGTAATTCTCTTGTAAAGGGCAAAACGACTGTATTGATTACATGCATAAGTTACATTGTAACGGGCAGTATAAAAGATTGCTGCGTGATGACCTACTATTATTGGGATATCGTGAAAAAGAAAATTGTATGCGAAGCCTTGAGAGACAAGTGTACAGCTGGTCATTTTTGATCAGTAACGACCAATTCAACTTTATTAATTATTATTGTACGTTTCTATGAGATTTTGAACAATTTTATGATGATCAATCACTGCTGATGAGCCTACAGATTATCTTTGATCCTGATGATCCTGTGATTGATTATGTGGACCATGCGATCTTTATTCCAAGTATACCTTTAAATGTCACATATATATCTGCAAGAATAACGAAGAGGCTGATTCAAGGATATCCTCGAGACTGTGATCAATGACTATTGATTTGTCCAATTCCTAAAATATATCATCAATAGTATCAAAAGTTTTGACGTCAATACTTGTTTGGGTTAGCTAAATAAGTTCATTATTTTTCCGGTTGTGTTATTATTGAAAATATGAAGCGAAGAGGGAGAAAGAGAGAATAAGAGTGTTCTTATTTTTGTATTTAAGTCCGGGGGTAATGTCACCAAGATACAAATCAAGCATTATCGAGTTTCTCGATGAAGTTGGGACAAGAGTAAACTTGGATTCAATCGCGATTTCAAGCTCGTCAGTGCTGTTAATAGCAATTGATGCTGAAGAGATTTAATTATATACCTCAACGCGCCCATCGACTTCGCAACTAGTTGATAAGATTCGCTTAACCAGCTTGCGAGGGACCAGCAAATTTCCAAGTTACACGGAACAACGAAGGAAAGGAACAACGAAGGGGACCAATCAGCAGCAGCGGAAGCAATAATCGACAAAGGGACCACGAAGTTTAATAAATAAAGCGGTCGACATGATGGATTGGGGAATACGACGTAAGCTCTTATTAAAGCTAAAGGCAGAATCATGCATGACGCATAAGCTGAACTTTCTTTTTTAAGTGTGATTCCATATGTTATCGACCCAACTTAAGAAGTCTGTCGACGCGTATTTTTTAAATAATGTTCGTACTGTAAATATCGAAGACTTGAAAAATTATTTAGCGGCAATGTACTGTTCTATTTGTCCCTTATTTGACTTCTGTAAGATACGTTTTCTCGTAATAGACTTGTTTTTTTATCGCTTTTTTTTTTAGAAGAAATTGATTGCAAGCAAAAATGTCTCATGTTCCATCATATATGCAAACTTTTACGCATTATACAGGGTGTCCCAGGTATCTTCCGTCATCTTTCAAAGACAGATTCCTGGGATCATTTGAAGACGATTTTTCCTCAGCGAAAATGTCAATGAAGGCCATCATGTTTTGCATGTTCCCGATTTTTGTCATCATATATCTTTGCAATTAAGTCTTAAATTAAAACTCAACTAAAGTAAACTGTATTTAAAATTAATCAAAGAATGTAGTTTTGTTAATATTTTATTTCTACAGAGTTTAGTTTACGAAAAACCCTTATTTTCAATCACTTATAATTCGAAAATTATTAGTGCCTCGACATTTTCGTTGAGGAAAAATCGTCTTCAGATGATCCCAGGAATCTGTCTTTGAAAGATGACGGAAGATAACTGGGACACCCTGTAGAATATTTTTCGATAATTGTCAATCACAAGGCTTGCCTCTTGTTTTGTTTGCATGCATCTCTTACGTTGTATTAATAAGAAATGCCACGATAAAAAAAATGTCTCCTCGACATCCTAAAATTACATTTCTGTCGTGCAAATATGCAAGTATAAAAAGAAATATGATAATTTAAAAAGAAAGAAAAACACTGAGATTATCTTTAATCGAAAAAAATAGAATATTCCTCCCTCTCTCTCTCCTTCACCCTTTCCTTTTTCGGGATCGAGCAACTCTTCAGTAGGTTAGTTTTCGAAGCTTCGAATTTCGAAGTTAACTTCAAATCTTCAAAGTTTCAAAAGATATATTCTTACAAATTCATATAAAAAATGTTAGAATTAAAGAAATGAACATATTGTAAATAAGAGTGAATTAAAAAATTAATATATATGTACAAAAAATTATTTAAAAAATAAATTATTAAGAAATTATTAAAAATTATTGAAAATCACAATTTTTAGATTAGATTCTTAGAATATTCTTCAATTATAATCTTCAAATATAACCTTCGAAGCTTCGAATTTTCAAAGAGTTTCGAAAAATATATTCTTACAAATTCATGTAAG